TGTGTATGCGTGTATGTGTATGTGTGTATGTGTATGTGCGTATGTGTATGTATATCATTGTGAATCACTGTTAACTAACTAACTAACTAACCTTCTATTTCATTCTTTAAATGCATCAATAAATAGTTCACTCCAAACATTACATACTTCATTCTTCTTTCATCTTCTTCACCTCACTTAACATTTATCACACTATAACTCCATTAAGCTCTTTACATATATTATTACATTATTAGCATGTCAAAATTTTCCGTTTTAATTACTATTCTTATAACCTGAATGAACTGTTTAATTATTTTATACTACTGCATATAATAATAATATAATATATATTGCAATATTTAGCTCTACAAAAAAATGCATATCATTATTAATTAATATGATTAATAATGTAATTTTATCTAAAATTTTAAACTTATTATACTTATATTATCATTAATTGGATAAAATTTTAGCTTTCAGTCTATTTCTTTTTTTCCAATTAATTTTCTTATACTTATTTTAAATTCAACTTTGATTCGATCAATCTTTCTTATTAATATTATGGATATTACCTATACTTTATCTTTTATTTATCTAGTTTTTAAGAACAATATTTTCCGTTTTTAATTTACTTATTATAAATATGATTTAATTTTGGATATTCTAATTTTTTTAACGCTATTTATAGTAAACTTAGATTATGATATATGCTAGAAATTTTCATTTACCATTTTAATCTTTTCAATTCTATTTCATAAATAAAAAAATTTACAGCTCCAAAGCAATGGATGAATATATGCGGAGCGAATACGCTAAGGATGGATTTGGAATGAAACTGATAGTAATGATATCGTATTTCATCGCTTATCTTTAGTCTGATATATATTTTCGAGATTCTTTTGCATGCTATCATCATGGCTGCACCTATTCCCTATAGGACTCCTTCAAATAATCTGGTTTGTTTATATTTTTTTACTCATTAGCTGTAATCTATAATTGAATTAACTGAATATTACGCTTTCATGGGTTAATTCCAATTAATTATAATCATTATTAAAGATATTTGCTTTTTGCTACTAATGAATAAGTAAAAATTCTACCAATTAGTAATGAATAATGAGGTTAGAAATCAATAATTGTCAAATTACTAGAATTTAGGATTAAAAAAAATTTTTTTCTCAGCCAGTAGGATCATTCCCACCCACAGTTTATTATCGTGATACTTATGGACTACAACATTTGGTCGATGGTGGTGGAATTCAACGAAATCACGCAGATTCCATCACTACAGTGGAATCGGATGATACTGTAACAACGAAATCTACAGGTATATATGAAATTTTAACGAAGAACGTAAATGTGCTAAATTAACCAATAAAAGCGGAATTTTCAAAAGAAATAAAAGTCTGGAGAGAGCAATCGTAAAGATTATATGTTAGATATAAAACCGCAAATAATGTCTTTATTTTAGAATTTTGCAAAAGGAGGTGTAGCATAGGAAAAGTATTATATGTAAAATATGAATATGAAAAAGCGAATATGAAATTCCAGAATCCTCATCAAATTTCAGAGTAGCATACTTCACCTTCCAGAATAGCATCTAAAAATGACCGGATATAATTCCGGATGATCTCGAAGTCGTAAAAAGTTCGATTTATGGAATTTCGCTTTTTCTTAGACTATGATCTCATAATAACCCTTTATTATACGCTAACTTCCAGTACGTACAATTGCAAATATCCACAATGTAAACCAGATGATCGAAAGTTCGACGTCCAAAGGAACCGTCAATTCGCCGTCATTCCATGTGAGCATGTTTTCTAATTCCTTTATCACTTAATATTGAAATATATTTTAATCAATTAATACTAAAAATCTAGAAATCCTGAAATTTTTGAATTTTGATAACGAATGAAGCGATAATTCTATAAATTTCAGATTGATCAAGTAGTAACAAATCAAGTTATACTGATGCAAGCACGAACCTTGCTCACTCTAACTTTGGTCGCTTTTGGTGCAGCACTTCAATTGGTAAATGTCATTTAATCATTTAAATTTTAAAGCAAAAATTTAGATTAAGCTAATTTCTTTATTAATTCGGTTATTTTACAGATGATATTTGGTATAATATGTGTTTTTTATGATGGTTGTCCGTATTACCTAGCCGTTATTGCAAGTATCTTATTTATGCTCAATGCTTCCACTGTATTATGCTTTATAAGGTATAGGCCAACACGAACATTTCTGGTAAGGATTAAAAAAATTTGCACCAAAGACTAAATTTGTAATAATTTTGAAGTTTTTAAATTACAATAATTAAAAAAGAGAAATCCTTTATTGTATAAAATTCATTTTTTAAATAATTATGGTAAAATAAATCATTAAATATGGTTTACAGTAAATAAATAAAAACATAAGATTTCTAAAATACTATCTACTGGTTTTATTTTCCTTGTTTATTTAAAAATTTGTGAATCCGGCATTGTTTTTCAAATCGGTCTTGATATAAACCAAAAAAAAAAAAACATTATTACCTTATAAGATTAGCAGTGTTCTTTTTATACTTTTATTTCTTATTATTAATGAATATTTTAGATGGTTTGTATTGCGTTTACCAGTATCAGCTTTATTGTTGCTGTGACAATATTCATTTGGACAGCGTACTTAATCTATGGTGAAGATAAGCAAATACGAGGTCAAGGATGGTCATTTCATGAGGTTATTGTTTGCTCAAAAATTACATCAACAAATTGTTTCCATAGTCTAAAATTTGATTTAAAAAAGAACCGTACGAGTATTTTCTAAAAGCATAAGTAAACAATCACTGAAATCCGCAGTCACTTTTCAGGATAATTTCCTAGAGCTTAATCGAATTATATCCAATACACGCGTAGCTATGTACAGTTTGCACATGGTACTTTCTCCCATACAAGGTAACACATTCAGCTAAATGTTCCAAAAAAAAATTTATTCTTAAATTTTGCTCTTAAGACTGCAGGAATAAGAGATATGCAGCGGACTAGGTTAATCAATCCTAGAATTGGCAGTAATTTAACGAACATATAGGAAAAGTTACTGATAAGTTAGGAGAAAGTGAGAAAGGTAAATGAACATGGATAAATTTTATGATTCGATATTTTATCCCAATTTTCCGATCTCATATAAAAATATTATTGCTTAAAAAAGCAGTATTTTCAGCACTGTGTTGTGCCGGGATTTTGAATATACTTTTCAAGAATTTACGACATATTCAAATTGATCGAATAACACGTGGCTACTTCTTCACACAACCTCTCATCGGACAACAGGTCAGTTGAAGAATTTTTTCAAAAGATCGAAAAGGAAATGGTTTGTTTCTTTGAGATCTAATTTTATTGCTATAAAAAATATATGCAAATAAATGGATTTCAAAAACTGCAAAAAAAATTTCGATACCTAAAAAATGTTTAAAAAATGAAGCAAACAAGTTGCACTACTGAGTATGACTAGATTTGCAGACAGTGCTCGTTCCAATTGAATTGAAACAAGTAGAAACATTTGATGAAAGTGAAATAGAAAATGCATCCGTTGGTGTACAAACAAGCGGTGGTAATCAGAGCAACAAAGATAGTTTGTGAAGTTGGCAAAACGAATCCAGAAATATTCTTCAGCAAACCCTCGATATTAAAAAGGATGAAGCGAAAATTTTAAAAAAATTTGAAAAAATAAACAAATGAATGTATTTGACCTAATACATTTAAAATAAACAATTAAAAAGAAAGAGTAAGTGATTTGTAATTATTCACTTACCTCATCTTCGTTTATTATTTTCCTGAATGGAGTACTCCTCGATAGTAACGTTACACGAACCTTATCCAATAATGGTCCATTCTGTCGGATCATCAAACGATGAAGAATATGCCGAGAAAATGCATGAATGAGACCACTTCCTTCACAGCCATCAATCAAAAACAGTTTTTACAAATCTTTAGCCTCAATTTTTATTTTGAAGATTCAAACTTTATTTTCCCAACAATAACTTTATACTCAATAAATTGCTAAATCATTGGTTATATCAATTATCGACTGATAAGAACGGTCTGTGTGCCAAAGTATCAGGAGTATTTTGTAGTTTCGATTATGCTCGGTTTTTCCAATACCTATAGTAAGGGGTGCAAAGCACTTGGTGATATAACTAAAAAGTAGAAAAGTAAAGCTACATATAATTTGAAAATTAATTAAGAAGTAAACAAATGATTTAAAAAATTGGATATCTAAATGTCTTTACTTAAAAAATTTTTTACTTAGAAAACATCAAACTTTAATCAAAGTGTCGAAACAAAAGAAATCTTTAATTTACAATAGTCAATATCTTTAAAAAATCCACAAAAAATTCTTGTTTTACTAAAAATATGTTAAAAATCTTCATTGGTGTAAATACAAATCGAATAAGAATGAAGATTCCTCTCTCCTACCATTCAACATTATCCTTATAGAACTTTAAATCATAAGGATACTCTGAAACCGGATCAACAAATTCAGTGAGTTTAAGGTCAAGAGTCACACCATTTCCATATATTTTACATTATCTGAAGACAACCAAGCATTTTTGCTCGCAAATGTCTATTTAAAAAAACCGTGGAAACTGAACTTACTAATGGCATGTTATAATAGAGACCAAACCGCTGCCGAGCAAGCATCGAAAACATGGTATTCCGGAAACAGACCATTTTCCCATCCAAATCAATCAATTCATGAGGTGTGTTCACCGTAAAAGCATGCCACATAGCTCCAAATATGGAATCTATGAAACCGCCAGACCACTAAATATGTTTAATAAGAGAAATCATAATAAACATTATTCAATTTTCTAAGCCAGAAATGGATCAGCTACGATGTTAGTATCGCTTATGGATCAAGTTTTATAGTTACGTTATTCAAGTAAAGTATATAAAACAAGAACGAATAATTAGCCGAATGGCAAAAACTAACTGTATCCCACCACAGAATATCGATATCCATATTAATTGAACCATTAATATGCTGGCTTGCATATAGATTGATAAAATCACAGAAATGATGATACATATTTACTGATGCATCCAGTTTAATCAACACTGTTGGTTTGTCGAAAATTACATCACAATGATGTTCCGAAATTCGAAAATCAGGATATGATGCAAAATACTCTAATTCATGCGCCCTAGATACGGCTAACATTAATTTTAATTGTATCCAAACACGGTCAAAGTGTTGGAAAGACAGAAAATGTCTTTAAAAAAGTGTACAGTTCCATCATCCTCAATTTATGCAAAACAAATTACTTACCAACTTTGCAAATAACTTTTTTCATCTATTCTGCTACGGAGCAATTTTTTGTTAAATGCCTCACAATTTCCACCAACTTGTCCTTTTTGGATCACATCATTACGATATCTTAAATTCATGGATTTTTATGACAAACAAAGTGTTACGAGCGAGTTGCAATCTCAAACATAAATTGAAAGAAATTTCTAAATTTATTTGAATTGCAAAAACGACCAATTCAAAAGATCGCCCACCTTTTCGAAGTTTTTGAATTCAAATTTTTGAAATCAAAGAAAATATTCCTTGCCCGACAAAATCTCAAATGACTGGAACATTCCAGAAAACTACCTTCCTATAAATAAATTGACTAAACTTTACAGGCAGTGCGGAAAATTTCAGTTTAAAAATTTAACTTCATACGAAAAGAACTATACATTTGGTGAATCAAATGAAAAATAATCGAATAACGATTACGTACTGTATGATTTGAAATGCAGATTGGTTCAATACTGTTAAATGTTTCCGCTAATTTCCGAAAATCACCTTGTTTTTGAAAAATTTCTAATTGTGATTTGATACTGCTTTTACCCCTAAAATATTAGCATAAATGAAATTTGACAGCTCTTCTTTTGACAGCTCTAGCTCTTTGTTGATTATACAAGTCAACAATTTGATTAGACAAAGCTCAATTTAGCGCAATAACTGCTTACTTTCTATTTAGTGATAACATCTCCGCCAAATGTTTTTTATTTAAACCTATTCAAAAAATAAAAAATTAAAAATTCTGCGGCAAAACTGTGCACATTAAATCATAATGAAATGATGAATAGCAACTATCAAAATAATATCCTTCTTTCATCAAACAGTAGTCAAAATCTTGTTAATGTTGTACTCATTTCAAAGCAAGATTGATTGGGAAACACTGAAACTCGATAAGGTATAATCTTATCAGCATGACATAATAGATACAGGAAAAAAAAAGAGAAAAAATTTAATATTTTTAATTCCAAGTATACCTGAATAATTTCATGAAACTTGAAACTAACCAACTATTTGGCTTCGTGCATTTTGCTTTTCCTACCGAATAACTGTTTTCTGGATCACAATTTGGCTCATAACCCCAACAGTGATTGTTGTTTATTCCATACTGAAATTTTACTGACACAAAATGCAAGTTTTTATGTTCATTATTTGAAAAAAAAAAAGAAAAAAAACTTGAAAGGAGTATAATATGACGGTTAACAATTTTGATTTCACTAAAGGAACACAGTTAAGTATTCAACTTCTATGATGTGTCATATCACGGAAATATTCCATCACATGACATAGGAATCTTACAATGAAAAAAGTTTTAAAATCAATGTTTAAATTTACGCTAAAAATAAACTGCAATCTTGGAAATAACTACGACAATTCGATTTTCATTTAGTAAATTTCTATTGCTTTCACAAGTCGAAAAACATAACATTCTCTTTCATGTGCATACAAAATAAAATAGCATGAAACATATAGAAAGAAAATATATAATTCCGGTAATTCAATTCAAAAACCATTCCAATATATTAATTTTATCCAATTCAATAATTATCCTTGCTAGAATGAAATATTTGTGGGAATGATTTGAAAAAAAAAATCCAACAATGATCACCTTTGAATGGCAAATTTTATTTCTGAAGCACAAATTGCGCACCGTATTATCACGGTTTACCCAATATTGAATATGTTCTTCTGGTAAATTTAAGTTATCGATTAAATTGAATTCGTCTGTTGCTAGTGCAGAAATTACTAACAATCCCAGAATAACTTTATACATCGCATCCTAAAAATGAAAAACTCAATTAAAAGAAATTGATTTACATTCCATATGAACATATGTAAACCATTTCTCATTTGTTTTTATAACATCTGGAAAAACAAATTAATCAGATGATAATGATAATAAAAATATTTTACAAATTCGAACTACTATATCAACTCCTCATATTCATACTTCAATCAACCTCATTCCACATAAATTTCTCATATAATTAGACAAATTAATCCAACAATTATAAATCCTAAATGTCTCAATTCTCTCACTACTCTCAGAATTTTTTCAATCTCTCATCATATGCTTTTATAAAAATCTTAGCAATCTCTTCCGTTTCTCAAAGTACAACAATATACGATCACATCTCATTCATCTCTAATCTCTTTTAATCCCTCACTGCCTCGCACAACCCACTCATCCCCTACCTCTTTATATCTCAACAACTCCAGAAAATGAGAAACATCGGAGCGTTAAAAAAAAATCCTTAACGTAGCGGCCGGCACCACGTTTTACCGCAGATGCGGGATTTCGATATTTCCGAATTCCGGTGTCCGTATTTCTGTTTTCTTCTTACCATGAGCAAGTTCCATTTTTCCGTTATTTGAGTTGGATATAGAAATTGGAGTAGAAGTGAGTCGAATTGTGGAAAGACGATAAATGAAAGCCGGAAAACGAAGAGATGAAGTATTCAACAGAATTCAAACAAATCATGGACCCTTAAATAAAATATAAACAAGGGAATTAAAAAAATATGGAAATAAGTTCGAAAGTATATAAATTCGAGATTAGAAACAAAATAAGACAACAATCAATGAATGCCATTGGTCATTATTATGCGCTTAGTGTTTTCAACTTTTGTTTTAACTCATTTGCTAGGAAATGAAGTTCACTGTAATGATAAACAAAATTGAATTTGTTTCAAATCCAACTTTTTCTCAATTAGTTGTTGATTTCGAATTTTATGAATCAATCAGCTAATCACTAGCTTCAACTTCAAGTACTTTTTGGCTGGATTTTTTAATCACGAGTAGATTTTGCTTTTTTCTCAAAATTTTAATTTCAAGTAAATTATAAATCTTCAGTAGAGGATTTCTCCCATTCCCTAGCACTACAGAAATTTTTCTGCTCCACTTTCCAAATCATATAAATGATAGATATTTATAGTGCAAACTGAAGTTTTAAATTTAAATAAAGTTTCATTTGGTTATTGTTTTTTTGAAAATTCAATGATTTACCCAGGATCAATGTCAGCCACTTGAATTCACTGTAATGTCGGAATGTGAAGGAACAAGTACTCGTCTTGTAGATTACGTTGTCATCATCGAATTCGATGAAACTCAAATTCGTTAGTTATTAAATGCATTATATCATGTAATTGGTTCTACTGATCCATGATTATTGAGAATGTAAAATTTAAGTCAATGTTGGGGTAAGGGTTTTGGTCTATTGTATTTCGAGTGTATACCATTCAGATACACTCAAAAAATTTTCTGCTATAATTTTCATTTTTTATATATTTATTATGCAAACTAAATCCGAGATAAATTTTCTCTGAATAATGTTATGGTTTTTTTAAAGACCATAATTTTAAAGAAAATGAAGTTCCAGACTGTTGAAAACAACCATTTTTAGGACACGGGAGCAGTGTTGGAAATATTGTACAGCGCTTCCCAGAATATGATTGGTCAGATATATCACTGTCACCAAGTCTTGAAGTGGTATGTTACAAATTTTTATTTTTAAATCAAATCATTTCAAAATTTTTCTATTGATTTAGTGATCAAAATATTGTAGAATTAGACATTAACAAAGTCATTCTTATTGATAGATTATTGATAGTACAGACATGAGTTGCAATTTTAAGTAAACTTAATACATTTGATTCTATAGTTCTGTCGGATCCTTGATCCTTTTACGTTTCCTTGACGGAACAATCTTTCGGTACTACTCAGATAATAAAATAATTTTAATCTTCTTTTTCGGATGAGAAATTAAAAAAAGATTGGGAAAAGAGGAGAGGATTTTTCATTGGTCTAATATTTTAGGTAACTTAGTTTAATTAGATTGAAATTTGAAATAATGTCAACTTTCAGTTTTCTCAACCACAAGGTTGGGCTGTTTCGGCGGAAATGCGTCCTGTTTGCTTCTTCACGAACACATTGACGGATATTATGGGCGCTAGGCAGTATGCTTGCTGTTTGCAGGTTATATTTTCATTTTTTTCTGTTTTATTTCCTTCATTTTTATCCTGATTTTTCAGTTCAGATATTTCATTATTTCTGTAGCCGAAATGACTAGCCTTCATGTGCGTGCATCACATCCGTTGAACAGTTATAGGATGAATATATGGTGTTAGTAATCAAGGAATTATAGTTTAAATAAATGATAAGCAGTTAAAAAATGCTTCTGATTGCCCAGGTAGCAGTTTATCATCTAATCCAAAGTATACATTTTTTGGAATGCAGCTGTTTTATCCATCCTTTCTGTCGAGCTCTTGTTGTTTGAATTGTCTTATTTACCAGTTAGCACCACAAATTAAATGTTCATTTGTTTGGAGTTTGTCTGGTATTTACTTCTTAATTTTTGGATACCATACATATCAACTATTGCTGGTTTTATAGCACGGAGTACCTAAATGAAGTTTTATGGGAGATAGTTTTAAGCTAAGTGTGGGAAAGATGATTTAGGTTTACGAACCTTGTGGAGATGGTATCGAGGAGGTGGATGATACGAGATCTGACGAAGGACCAAGCTTATTCAAACCGAAAGTTATAGTGATATTGTCGCGTTTCCCTTTTTTCGATTTATTCAGAGTAATCGCTTTCTATTTTTTTTCCATTTCAAAAAAACTGAATTCATGTATTTTGGAATGTTTTAGGAACTTACTTGGACAAATTGTTGTAAGCAATTCCAGAAATTTTTGGATCATTTAATAACAGATTTTAGAATTGCTTAAATCGAATACTCTTGGCGTTATTGGAAGCGGAAGATAAAGCTGAATTGATGATTTCAACGCTGCTGTCACAAGTTTATCTGACACCGGGTATGCCTGCGGTATCATTTTGCTTAGGGAATGATCGACTTTCGGTACGAGCTCCCAAATCGCCAACTATACCTGTCACATCTGATAAAGTGACGTTATTTCTACAACAGTTAGGTTTGTTTGTTTCAACAGCAAAAGTTTATTGTGCAAATTTTTGATTCAACTATTTTGAAGAGAATTATAGGAAAAGACGATATTTATGGTTTTTGATTTTTGTAGGTTGCGTTATGATTCTAAGCAGAAATAATTTCTAATTTAGGAACAATCCATAATATTCTAACGTTGCTTTGTGCTGTCATGGCTGATTATAAAATATTGTTTCGATCCAGTTCACTTTCTCTGCTTGCTGATAGCTGTTACGCTCTTCGTTCACTTTTGTATCCTTTTGATTATCCGTAAGTTGTCTACATAAATATATTTTATGACGTTGATTGAATCACTTTTTTTGTTCTCTTTAATTCATGTGATTCTGTAATAGCTTAATTCTAAATTATAAGAACAGTATCTGCGTTATTCAAGCAAATTCGTCAAAAGAGAATTGTTAGGTTGTAGATAACAGTCGTTTGTTTTGATCATATATTCGGCCTAATCAGAACTTTCAAGAATTTCGCATCATTTTACTACATTTATTTTATGATTTCAGGCATACTTATGTTCCTGTACTGCCTGAATTACTCATTGAATACTTAGAAAGCCCAACTCCATACATCATGGGTGTTCTAAACACTGTCCGTATACGATGTACTGATTTAGATGCAATTGTAGTGGATCTAGATGTTGGTGCTGTTTACGTACCCCCTTCGATTACAATGCCTGTTATTCCTCAACCATTTCATCAGCAGCTCACTTCTTCATTACAAATGGTTCGCATGTTTTTCAAAAATTAAAAAAAACGAAAACTAAAATATTTATGAACCCTTATATGGATACTAATGATTCACTATTGTTATAGTTGTTATAGGTACTATTTCCCGGTCTCTCTACCGCTGATTATGCGTGGAAAGTTGGGCAGCCACCATTTCCTGCTTATGAAGTGCAGGTTAGCCAATTTTTTTCTTTTTCGCTCATTTTAATTTACACAATTTGTTTTGTTCATATAAATTGATTGCAATGTTTTAGGATAAAAGAATTCGAGCATGTTTTCTTCGTTTCTTTGCGGATTTATTAATGGGATATCGGTGCTGCTTGGAAGTTATTCGTGTTTATACGCCACCACTAATCGTCTTTCACAAATCTGCATTTCTGGGTTTACGACAGTTTTCTTCCTGTCCACTTATTCGTGCTTTTCTTGATAGTTTGCTTTTCCAGTCTTTCATATCCGAACGCGGGTTACCTTTCCGAATTTGCGACTTATTCGACGAAGTGAGTAATTTTTTAATACGCAGCAGAAGGAAGGTAGTTGAAGTTATCATGAATAAATTAAAGCAGAGAAATGGGATTTGAGAGCAGACGAAACGTTTTTTGGATTCTTCAGAAATAAGTGTGAATTTACATGGTGTAGTGTGAAATAAATTACTGATTTTGCAGCTTGTTGCTCAGATTAGTGAACAATCAAATGGTCAGTTATGTTCGCGAACAACCAGTATAGAAAATATCATTGAGATTGCTGAAAAATTACTTGAGAATGTATTGTTTTTTTTTCTCAATCCATTTGCTATGCTTTAACATTCGTAGCTTTTCGTTCATTATTTATACATTTATGTTTACTTACATAATCACTTTTTTTGCGCACACATTAACATTTTTTCCATTATTTTTTTTCAGGAAAGACAAGAAACTCCGTTTTCAGTTACTCCCTTTGCAACTCAGCAGCGATTTGCTGTTTCATTTTCAAATGCTAAATTACGTCTTCTTAATAATGATTTGGTTAGTATTTAAGTGTTTACCTGCGATTAGAATCATTAGTGTATCAAGGTCTTATGTTGGAATAGAATCTATAATGGTGAAATTCTTAATCATT